CTTAATACATAAGAAAACGATTGATTTTTATTTTATGCAGCCAATTTACTGAGCTCTCAGTAGCTCCTCTTTTGACTTAGATTACCTAGGTTTACAATAATATTGTAATCAGTAATGAATTTTGTGGGGCTCTTTACAATATTTATCTTTTATTTACTTTTCTTGTATTATTTCTTTGGCTAAACCTCAGGAATAGCAACTGACTGACAGCAGTATCAGAGCAGACTTGATTTGGCCAATGCAGCTTTCTTACTGTTTACTGTTTACAGTTTTTGTTCTATTTTTTACATATTTTTGAGTCAATTTTGGACATTTTCTGTTTCCCAGGGTGAGAAAAATCATTACCTAGATTTTCAGATTCATTGGGCTCATGTTGCAGATAATATTTCCTCAACATTTTTAATGTTTAATTTGAAAATATTTGTGGCGATGCACTGTGGTGGGCTGAGTACTATCCCCCCAAAAGATGCCCACGTCCTTCCTAATCCCCAGAAACTGACTGTTCCATGACAAAAGGGACTTACATATGCGATTAAATTAAGGATCTTGAAGTGGGGAAGAGTATCGCGGACTGACCAGGTGAATCCTATATGCAGTCACGACAGTCCATATAAAAGGGGGGCAGGAAAGTCAGAGGAGGAAGCGGGAGATGTAATGACAAAAGAAAGAGGTCAGAGTGATGTACGGACGCAGTCACAAAAGAAGGGATATAGAGGAGCCTCCAGAATCTAGAAGCAGCAAGGAAACAGACTCTCCCTTAGAGCCTCCGAAAGCAGCCAGTCCCGCCCACACCGTCACTGCAGACTCTTATCCATTTCTATTGAATCAGGAGTCCAAGAACCCTAGTCAGTAACAATGATATCCTTCCTGGCACCAGGCCAGTTGGCGTCATGGAAAGAGCTTGGAACCAGACAGACCTGGGGTGGACTCTCACCTGTGGCCTAGGTCTAGCTCTGATGTCTTGGGCCAGTCGTTTAGGGTCTGTGAGCCTCACTCTTATCACACTTAAAACAAGGACAATAATCTTCACGCTGTAGGGTCAACAATCACACTAGAGAAACAGTATGGGGTGGGAGGGCGGGAGATGGAGAAAGTGAGAGGGTGACGGGAAAGCCAGACAGTGTTATTTTCCATCTTCTCTCCCCAGTGGGACTGGCCCAGGCTGGAAATGCCTGTGTGTGTGGAAAGAGGGACAACGGGGAGATAAAAATCTTGGGCAAACAAAACGTGGACAAATCAGGATGGTAATGTAACAAACTCTAACACACTCAGCCATGAAACTTTGGAAATTGCCCAGCACCCAGATGTGACCTTGTTACTGAAGACAGATCAGTGCAAGTGGAAACCCGGCAGCAGGGTTGTGAAGATGAGAGGTTTTGCACGTACACTGACTACCTGACCTCTGGGCATCGCAGGCACGGACATGGACGGTATCACTGTTGCTGTGAGCTTTCTGCTACTGCACATCCCTGCATCAATCAATAGGTAAGCGTAGATGCTCCTGCCTTACGTGGGGCCCGGGGATGCAGGTTAGGATATATGGGTTAAAGGAACAGGTAATGATCTGCACAGGGATGCAGGATCCAGAGACAAGTGCAGGTGAGCATCCTGGCTACCGGGACACACTGAAGATACAGTGTGGGCTATAGCCAAGAGGAGACCGGGGAGCCCACTTCTCTGACAAGCCTGCAGGGCGTGTGCTGCTCACACATGCCTCTAACAGATGCAGTCATCCACATCCCCTGTTTTTTATTTTGCTTTGTGGCGTCTCCAAACTATATCCCTCTTCACCGCCCAGGGTCCAGTCACCTTGAGAAAAATGTGTCAACACCAAGACACATGCACTGTGGCTGGTGCTCCAGAAAGTGATAAAAGATTTTAAAATGGCTGGAAGGCACCTCTCAGATCCACCATTGCCAACTCGCAGTGGGTACCTAGCCATCCGCTAACCTGCAGATGCCCCTGGGCAGACCAGGCATTCACCTGCTCCACTCCTACAAGAGGAAGTGAGGATGTTTAGAACTACTTGCAGTGGCCAGGAGAATGAGGAGGCATTGCTTCCTGAGACAGAATGGCCAGGACTCCTGCGACCGGATGCAGAAGGGCACAGCTGGGTCTAGACTGCGGTGGGCACGGAGCCCGATGCTCTGTCTCAGCCCTCCTCCATCATTCCCATCTTGCTCCTCCCGCAAGGTGCCAGGGAAGAGAAATGACCCCGCTAAGAACCGGGCAGCAATATCAGAAAACATACCACAGGTGACTATTTCAAAGGAATTGAAAAAGGTGACATTTTCCATTACGGCCCAGTGTGTCGGCTCAGATTCCCCTTTCCTTAACCACAGGCTCTCCTCCACCACCCGCGGCCTTTTGACTTCACCTCTAATAGGTTCTGCAGAGGCGCCTTAAGGAGAGGTTTTGTCTTGCTGACACATCTTATTTCCACTCTTGTTGGCATGGAGAAGGCTACTTTGTTTACGTCCGATTGCGGCTGGGCCACCACGGGGCCCCGGCTGATGAACTGAAATGGCTAGAAGATTGCTCCCAGCTCGGTGAGCCACCCGGCAGAAGGCCCACCCTCTCCTGCCCCTGCAAGCACACCCTGACACCCCCAGGACGCTTCCGGTCCTCAAGTGCCCTGGAGAGTGCGCTTTGTACAAACAGCCATCACTAAAACCTTGTACCTGGATGAGAGTAGAAAATAACCAGCTCATGTAATGTTCTCTCCCCCAGACGCTTGTTTCCAGGCCAAGGACCTGGTGCTACGGCGGAAAGCAGATGTGTGTTGGAACCAAGAAGAGTCTGGGTTTTATCCACTCATCCAACAAGACGTCTGTCTGGTGACCACCACGGACCAGACACTCCTCCAGGTGCCGGCAACCTGCCAGCGACCAGCAGCCCAAAGGATGCAAAGGCCCTGCTCGCGCGGGAGCCACATTCTACTGGGCTGAGAACCAACAACCAAGCAGCAACATCAGGCCATTGACATCACCCCTCAGCACTGTCACTTCTTAACTTATCGAACAGGAGTCACAGCGATAGCTGCCTGGTGGGGCTGCTGGGCCCTGTGGTAACGTGCTGCACAGATGCTCATTATCATCATTAATATTTCCACAGTCTAGATCCACGGAGCGGTATTCTTGAGAGAAGAGGAAAGAAATTGGAATAGGATTTTCCTGACTCTCTGGCCAAGGAAGTTCAGCACAGCCTCCGAGAGGACCCTTCCCAACCTGACTGGGGGTCACCTGTTCCCTGCTGTCCCTGGGACTTCACCTCCCTTTGTTACAGGGTTTGACAGCTGCACAGGGCAGATGTCACAACAGCCCATCACTGTGAACAGTCCTGAGTGCACACACCCTCCCTCATTCAACCACTGGTCCCCGGTGCAGAGCACAGCGATGGTACTTCACGGGCAGCCACGAACTGTCAGACTTAGAGGAATAAATTGTGAATAAATGGGAATGACTGAATAAGAAGTCTCTGAGTCCTAGTGCCTGTCATTGCATACTCACCAACCATACCCTAAAAGACCAAGATATGTCGTGTATTCCATAGATGACACTGTCCTCCAGGACTGTCACGGTCCCTCAAACCTGCCCGTCTCCTCCTACAAATACGAAAGGTGGATGGCCTGCCATCTCCTGACATGTCTCCACTTTAACAGAGTCGTTGTTCCCTGCAAAACACCTGAGTTGCTCTGCAGAGGCAGGCAGACCGTCTTTCACAAGGGGCACAGCTGGTGGC